AGATCTCCCGGGCCATGCGCAACCGAGGGGTGGAGGTGTACATCGTGGGAGAGGTACGTTGGCGGGTGCCCGCGCCACTCTGCAATGCAGTCGGGGAAGATTGTCAACTGCACCCCTTCCCCGGAAGACTTCAAAATTATTTGGAAATTGAAAATCTAGGCCTGTCAGGGCTAAATTTCAGTGAATATGATTTAAATGAACATTATGTGCAGTGTATTTTGTTGGTACTTGATATGTAGGCAGAGTTATGGTTCCTCATCTTGCAAGCTTTGAACACAGGAAAATAACTCTAGCTGGTGATATCGTGTCTTCAGTTTTCATCTGCTTCACTTTATGCCCGATTCTTACAGAACCCGTTTTGACGAACATCCTATCTTAATTTGGTTAGAATGTTTGATGAGAAATGCTCATTCCGAACTAAAGCAAAATCCCATATTATTACTTGTTTCCCCACACCCAGGGTTTTCGGCGTCATGTTTCATATTTGTGAAATTTTCTTTTGCAGCCAGCCTTGGTCACAAAAACAACAATTCGGCCACAAAAATCTGAAGATTGTCTATTCTGGAATTCTGTTTCAGAATGAAGGTGGTGCCTATGACCGAGTGGATCTCCTAGCCTTGCTGAACGGCATCGGACTGTCGGGAAACCAGACCACCAGAACCTTACTGGAGCTTCATGAAGATATCAAACACAGCATGCCAGGTAAGGCTGTATGGTCAAAGTTCGGTGTTTTGTTGGTTCTGCGTTTTAAATTGCAATTGAAATCATGTAAGATAAGTTTGAAAACTTTGTACAAAGTCTCTGTTTCTCTGTTTAATTTTTGTTATTTCACTGAAGCAAACAAGCTTTAACGGCTTATCTTTAGAGACAGACTTTACAAGGTCTGTTGGCTTTTGCTTTTCAGTTCTTCGCCATTGTCAGTATAAAGAGAACAGCTCATGCTGTGTTAAAGAACAGAGTTCCAACTTCTGTGCTAATGTCACTTTTTTAACCGCTATTTTGTAAGTAGAATAGCACAGAAAATAGGATGGCAAAAGTTCTAATCCAGTGTAAAGAATTCTCACAATGAAGTGTTTTGGAAATCTGAAGTCAAAAATAAATGGATTTGTATAGAGTTTAAAGTTAGTATGCACCATTGTGATCTTATTAACGAGGAGTTCTCTTTGTGTAAAAAAGCCACCATCTTACTGTCGGCCGTTAAGATGATGGTGTTGCCCAAACTACTAACATTGGACAACATGGCTGCCCTTTCCAAGTTCATTACATTTAGAGACCTTTTTATTTTTGAGATAAACTGCAATTTCCCAGCATTTGACCTGGGAGCCACAATTGCTTTTTGCCCATAATTGATTGAAAGTTACCACATTTTCCAATTGAGAAAGTGTTTGGGATGTGCCCTCATCACCAATCAATGGTTTTCGACTGTCATTATGTGAATATACGGTCATGAATGCATGTTGCCATGGCAACAGTAACGTGATTGCAGAGTGCAGTGTTTTCTAATCGATAAATTCACAGCATTTTATTGTTGAAGAAAGGCTCAGAACTTTAAGATAAATTTGCCAACCACTCAAGGCTGTGAAAAATGTGCACTTTTTTGGGGGGGGCCACTGTACTGCAGATGGACCTCAGATGCTTTGTCCAAGACTCAGGAATGGCCTATGGTCCATGGATTTTTGCAAGAAAATTTACACGAACTGAACTCTGGGCATCGCAAACGAATCACATTTTTCTTGATAATTCTCAAAGCGTTGAATTTGAAAATGTGAAACAAGTCAATTACAGCCATAAGCATGGTTTCTACCACCTTTAAGTTTGTAACATAAGATAATACATTTCAGTTGGAAATAAATCTAGCGTTTCGTAATCCATCGTAAGTGTTTTCATAATCTTTCAAAGAGTGGTCCAATCATTATCAGTCCTCTAGAAGTAGGTGAATGCTAAGTGCGTCTATGAAAGACGTACATCCCCCAAATTAGAGCATTAGGCCAGTTGTGTTCAGGTCATGCATATGCATGTAGATGAATCAAATGCGATGGTAAACTTTCACTGTGAGTTTATCAGCAACAGCAAGTTCTCCATTAGGCGTCAGTGCCATGCTTAATGGATTACATAGACCCAGTGCTAAGCAGCCTAGGTACTCCCCGACAGGGTTGAAGTAATAAATCCCGGACTGGTCCTTCTCGTCCAAGTGGCCGGCCACGAAGATATCCCCTGTCAGGCTACAGCATATGCCGGTTGGATTCCTGAACTTGGCCCGGGCGAGGGTGTCCACGGAAAAAATCACCCTGCCGTCGTAGTCAACGGACGTCAGTCTGTTGTCCGCATAACTGCTGTAGATCAAGCAGCGGTTGGGGCAGAGACTCACAGCAAGTTGGTTCTCTACCGTCGGTGAGGGGATTGTGCATATGAGAGTGCCGTCTGTTATGTGGAGGGTTATTACTCCTCGCCCGCGGTCACCAACTGCTATTTGGTCTTCTTGGTCAACGGCCAGAGCCGTGAGATTAGTCTGGGACTCGCCTTCCTTGTCCCCGCGGGATGGCATGAACTGGAAGAGGTACTTCAAGTCCTTGTCAAACACCATCACTTGGGGACTGTCGATGATGATGAGCTGGTCCAGGGTGTTGATGCAGACGCTGAATGGTTTGCGTAGCTTCTCCATCTGCACACCCACCGAGTTGCGGCGCTGCTCTCTCCCCTTGGGATCGGTGATCACAACGAGGAAGTTCCTCTCAGAATCGACCACGGCGATGTGGCCCCTGGAATTGGCTGCCACTCCCCTGGCCATCTTGAAGTTACCAAACTCTTTAGTCAGCTTCCACTGCTCCTCTAGCAGCAGGGTGCCGAGGGGTTCTACGATCGGGGCGCTACCAGGCTCAAAGTCCAGATATGACAGTCCGTGGAGGAGGCTATGATCCTGGTAATGCACAGCCTTGACGCCCTGGATCCCACTTAATACTGTCTTCTTTTTGGCCAGCAGCTCATAGGTGTTGGCTTTGACTACAAAGCTCCTCACCATATCCAGTCTTCGCTCCGTATTGTCCAGAATCTGCTGTTGATTTGTCAGCGAGATATCAATCTCCACCGCCCTCTTCTGTTTGATTTGGTCAATTCTGTCTTGAAGGATCTTCTCCTGTTGCTGAATGCACGCATAGTACTCATTAGCTTTCTCTGAAACTTTCCTCTTGGCCTGGATGATTAGGGATTCCAGTCTGTCTCGGGAGTGCTGCGTGGAATCCCTTGCAGATTTCTGCTCCAGCCGTACATGTTCTACCTTAGCCAACTGCTTGTCGATTTCCTGCCTGAAGGATTGTGTGGCTTCTTCCACGCTGACATACCGGTGCTCCGGCTGGCTGTGAGCGACCACAGTGCAGGCAGCGCAGATGAGCACCTGGCATGTCTCACAGAAGAAGGACAGATCCTGGCCGGTGTGGTTGCTGCATTTGGGGATGTCCTTGGAAGCCATCAGGTCCACGTCGTGTAGCGCCAGCACCTTGTGGGAGCGCATCTTCAGCATGCGCTGGTGAGCATCCTGGCAGTCCCGGCAGAGGTAATCCTCGCAGTCCACACACCGGGACACGGCCTCCTGACCCAGGTCGCAGGCCTCGCACATTACCTTTGACCTTGGAGCCGCCTCCTCCTCTTCGTCGACCACCATCAGGGAGGCAAGCGAGGAGCAGCTGACCAGGCCGTCGATCCCCTGCTCGGGGAGAATCGTGTTTTGCTTGCAGACGGGGCACTGGATGTTGACAGGATTGCGATGCTTGTTAGGCAGGATGTCCTCCAGGCATTTCAAGCAGTAGCTATGGAGGCAGTCCAGCATCTTGGGCTCGGTAAACCTCTGGAGGCAGATGGGGCAGTGCTCCAGGGGGTCATGGTTCAAATTGCCTGTCTCGCCAGATTCCTGTACTGGTGCTCCAGTGGCCATTGCGGCACCTAAAAAGAATCAGATGTTGAATGTTGATACAGTTATATCTGTGAAATACAGGTAGATACCGAAGCTGAGAGGTGTTTGACCAAAACTTTTTTGAGTGCCAGTTGTCAAAAATTTTAAGCAATAAGAAATGAAGCAATGATAGTTTAAATGATTTTTTTTCTATATCTTTCCGCATGTGTGCCAGAAGAGATCTGCCGAATTGACGACTGAGATTGATATTTATGAGGGCATCTTCAATTATGAAAAGATCACTAATATTTGCAGTTTGCAATTAATAATGCAGTGATTGCAAAGGGGATTACAGGAAGCAAATGTTGGAGTCTGTTGTGAATAAAAATGAAATTTCATTGAAATTGAACTTCTTGTAGCAAAATAATGTGGCTCAGAAGAGTATTCCAGTACAACGTTCAATCAGCATCCATCCTTTCATCTTGCCGTTTGTAGCACTCAGTTGTGGTTATCCTATCTCACCTTTGATGGTTTCCCCTCGCACAGTCAGAAGCTGTTCCTGACAGGTGCCACCTGCAGCATACCTCAGTTGGTTCCCTGTACACATATGTGCATTCCTGAATGGAGCCCACTGACTCTTTGTCACATGCCGTCACTCACTAGGAACAGCCGACTCTGTCGCAATAGCAGGGACTTGGTTCACTGAGCTAGACATGCACTTACACAATGGAACACATCCACTGCATGTGGTGGAGTTCACGGCCAAACCGGAGTGAATTTATCTGCCAAAGTGTGTACAGAGGTTATCTCTGTACACATATTTTGATTCCTGTATTTAATAGTGTGCACAGGTACATGTACATGCATTGATCATTGTGTGGTAATAGGGATCATGGACAGGACACAGCTCAATTGATTTTGTTGTTTGCTGAAGTGTGTTGAACTATTGCATGAGTCACATGTCAATATGTGAATTTGAACATTTGAAGTACCAAAGATATAGGTATCATAGGATTGTATTCACAAGTTGTGTTCAATCAATTTTCATTCCATTTTGTCCGAGTCAGACTAAAGTTGGCAGGTACATTCCACATAATGTAAAGGTGTTGACGGTAGGTTACAAAACCTGCTGTTGTGTTTGAAAGAATTCTTGATCTGAATTGCATATCCAAGTACTGATTTTCTCCAGAGTTTCAAACCATCAACAGAAAACCCAAAGACACTCTTGCACATTAGTTTTTGTTCCCGTGGACTCTGTGGAAATGTATGTGTAGAAATTCAAGGATGTATTATGAATCCCAGAATAAAAAAAAAAGTTATTGTTATCAGACTTAGAGTTACTGTAAAGGCCAGTTTGAAGTTCTGGATTTGCAGTTGTGCTAGAAATTGTAATTTGTGTGTTTTCATTCAGTAATGCAATAATAACTGTATTCCTGTGGATTTTTTTTTAAATTTCTATACTTATCACGTTGGCATTTCAAAGTCCAAAGCCTGTGTTGTTCATTTACAAATGCAGAATTAATCTACCAAAATTAATCAGGTTTCCAGAGCTTCTCAAGTGGAAGTGAAGTGGAAGTTATCTAACACATGACTGGGTTGATTACTAGCACGTGGTGAAAATTGGACAATGGCACGAAGCAAACAAACTTGTGGGCAGAGTTCCCAAAGGTCTGAAAATTGTGCAAAAATGCATGCATTCTGGTCTGAAATATTTCATACTGAATCAAATTGCTTAAAACTTTCTGATGAGTTTCTGAAGTTGCCACATGTAATTGATGCTGTGTGTTTTATAGGCTTTGACAAAATAAAATGGTTGTCGGCACATTTCGCATAATTACAGGTAATTTTCATTAAATTCAATTTAGTGACTTTGGTAAGTAGATTTGTTTGGTTTTATTATCAAATGCCTGTATTATTTTCATAATTTGATTGGCATATTTTTTTGTTTGTGAAGATTAATTTAGAAAATGAAACGTGGCTTAGCATGTTTACAATTTGCTCATCTTATTTGTTCTGCTTACTTTCAAGAATATACAATTAAAAAAAGTCATTGTAACCAATGTTCAGGAATGTCATTTTGCATTATATTATTCATTCAGTATTTATTTCATCCAGATTTGTAAAAATAGGTTTTCTGTTTTTAAGGTTTTTTCAAATATATACTTTTGCCATTGGTTTTCTTTTTTCAACCAGGGAGTGATGTTTCAAGCCTTCCCAGCATCCTCTTGGCTGCTTCAGTTACTGTACAACTACTGGAACGGGGTAGGGATGTGAACAGCGCCCTCAAGGAAGCATGCGCCGATGTGTTTGTCCAGGGTCAGCTGTCAAAGGTCAACAAGCAGGTCAGGGAACCCTCATTTTGTGGCACATGTGGTACATGTAGGTAAAACAAGTGTATTTTGTACGAGATTGTATGAAATTGTTGGAAAGGAGTTTTTAATTCAATTTGCAGAAAGTGCAAGAGATGGTTGACAAGCATCTCAATGGACTGGTTACCAACTGCAAACAGCTGGTGCCCGATGACACTGAGGCCGAAGATGATGTGTCACTGGAGGGCATCTTTCATCCTTGCACCCTTCCATCTGTGGACGAGCTCAGCCGCAATGCATTGTGGGCCACGATACGCAGAGACGCTGCTCTGCTCGTGTGCTTATTGAATGGAGCCAAACAGTGTGTGGAGCCACAGTGCTTTGTTCCCCTCCTCCCACTGGTGACTCGCCTCCTCATGGAGCAGGCCACGCCCGCCGACTGGCAACTTCGAGGAGACTGGCTCAAGAAGGTGTGGACAGAATTGCTGCCTGAAGATAGAGCAACGTCTGAACTGATTAAGGGTGACAGAGCAGAGTTTGTCCAGTGTATGCCGGAAATTGTTGCAGAGGCCCTCCAAGTTGTCTTCCACCACCCTCTACAGGAGAAACTTTCCAAAATGTTGGACAAATTAAAGCTGTCTGAAGGTACATGTAATTATCGATGAGCTGCTCTGCTAAACACTGATACTTTGTGGCATGTTTCTGTTGAAAGACTTGAACTGTGTTTAGGTTGTGGTAAAAGTCTGATTTATGCAGTAATTTTAGACTTTTTCTGTTCCAATTCCCTATTTTGTTTCTGCTCACATCTAGTCTGAGTTAATTTTTGACTTTTAGTCTTTTACAAAGTTTCTGGTTTACACCGTAATAACTTTCTGTAGGTGTGTTTTTCCCCTGCAAAAATTTCTCATCAGGCAGTATAGTTTCTAGGAATGAAACTGTTACTCCTGTGTATCATGGGAAAATGTAGTTGCACACTTTTGTCTGTGCAAGAATCTCACTTTTCATTGCTTAGGTCAGATTTCTTGCCATCTCTTAGGCTTAGGGGAATGAGGAAAAAAGACATGTACCTCTCTCAGAGACTTGGGCCAAATGCCTGGAGTAAATTCTGTCCACTCACCTTGAGCCACTCTCTGACAGGTGACAAGATTTTGCAGCACTATCCATTGGACCTCAACCTGGCACCACAGCTTCTCGCCCATCTGGCTAAGCTCAGTCAAGATAGGGCACCAGACCGAATGGCAATCGATGATGATATGAATGGAGAAGAAACCGATGTCGACAGCAGTGTACTGGATGAAGTCACCACCATTGCAAGGAGGTTTGGAATGAGTTTGTCAGTCATGACAGATGACATTGCACTTTTTAACATAACTCAGTCACCATCTTGGTCAGGTTGAAGACGGCATGGAACTCATGACACCGATTTCAAAATGTGTCAAAGATGCCAGCCTATGATGCGCTCCTGAAAGTGAACTGTTACCTGACACGGTATTGAATTGGTGGAGTTCAACAGCATTGTGTGGGCTCATTGTCCACACAACATAAAGTCTGAAAGTTTTAAACGTTCCAAGAAAATTGGGTGAGAAGGTTGCAAGCATTCCTTTCAATGAGCAAAGAAATGCAATGAAAGAGCTCTGCGACAAACCGGGATGCCAACATGTAATGAAAATGCTCTTATTTCTCTCTTTGTAACATTGAACGAATTCAAATGACGGTAGGATTGCCAACGGTGCGTTAAAACAGGAAGTCAGCTTTTTCTTGAAAGAATTTTTCCATTTTTCAAAACTGAGTTTCTTGCTTTTTGCAGGTTATACTTACTATTCAGGACCACTGCCACTTCTCATGTTGAGTATTCCAAACTGAGGCAAGCCGTGGATGTCCGGCACACAGCCAACACAGCAATCCAGCTTTCGTATGCTCTCCATCAAGGTAGACCGCCGCTCTTTCTGTCCAAACAACCTTATCTTTATGTTGAAAGTGGCAGCTGACACAAATATGAAAACTGACATCATACATTGATGCATTAGCATCACAGGCATGCTTATGTTTGTGGAAGAAACAGATTTGCCCAACAGAAGGAGATTTGTCTCAAAAAACATCGCCCCCCGATTCCAAAGAAAAAGGCTAGAAATAAATTGCATTTTGCTGGCTGCGGTGTCAAGTTTTCTTTGGCGTCTGAGGAAGTTACTTTCCACCATGCAGCAGGGGGAGTTTCGCCCCTCATGCCTGCTTACTTGCCCAAGAACTGAAGTGTCAGTTGCCCGTTCTTTCTTGTAGGTCTGATGGGGATTGATGACTTGCCGCACCCACTCCTGGCCCACCTGTACCCCTTCTTCAAGTCACTGGATGCTTTTGTGACCGATGCGATATCGACGGAGAAATGCAGCATTTCAGAAGACACAGTCTACGAGGTGAACTCAACAGAATGTTATCCTTCCAGAAAGAGATTTTGAAAGCAAGGCTGTTCGTAGAAAAGCAGGCAGGCTTGTTGATTATGTAATTTAACCTAGAATATATGTAGGATTCTCTTACACTTGAGCGACATTTAAATACTGTGTACTTGGTGTAGTCCGAGGGCTTGCAGAAAATTTCACGAGTTACTCAGGTGGGACTCGAACCCACTACTTCCTGCCTGCTTATGCAGCTCTTGATACTTTTGTACAGCTGTTTCATGTAGTTTACAGTACGGAAGTGAGTCGATTGTGGTTGATGCTGTAATCCCAAGAACTCATCTATCGACAGGTCCTATTGGCCCTGAAGTGGAGGGACAGATGCTGGCAGGTGTGCGACCGGCCAATCAAAGGCCTCGACTCATTCCACTTGGGGCAGTTTGCCCAGCACTGGGGCTGGCTCAGCAAGAAGTTGCTGTCAGTGGTTCCTTGCTTGCTGCTTAATAGTGACAGCGTGTAAGTGAGAACATTTACACATTTGACAACCTTTCAAGAAACTTCAAACCTTTTTTCTTAATGTAAAGCAAGTCTGGTCCAAGCCATATTTGGCTCATCAGGCTGGTGTTTATCTCCGGTTTCCTTGGCATGAAACGACAGAGAATATTTCTATTCCCTCTGGATGGGATGCGAATCCATCGCAGGTTGTTTCCCAGCTAATAGTGGTACCCATTTATACTCCTGGGTGGAGGGAGGCAAGCAGGGGTGAAGAGGCTTGCCAAGGGCCACAACATACTGCCAGCAGCTGGATTCGAACCTCCAACCCTATGATTGGAAGCCACAAACCCTAACCACTTGGCCACATGCCCCCCATTTTCTTTCTTAATGTAAAGTTTCTGATACATCTTTCCTTGTTTTTTCTTTTCCCCAGCACTGTCAAAGACTTAAAGTGTACTCAAAATGAATTTTTTAAAACCAAAAATTCTCACAGTTTTAAATCTTTATTTTATTTGAAACAATGAGACTTTCTGCAGGTAATGCAAATATCTGTAATATTTAATCACAACTGAAATTGGTTTTGTTTTTAAATTTCCAGCTTGCCGCAAGCCTTGCAAATGGTCAGCCAGCGAATTTCTGATCACCTGGCCGCTCTCCCTATGACCCTCCCCGCTTCAGAGCACCAGCGGGCACTGCAGCGCCGCCTGGGCCGGCCGCCGCCGTACAAGACGGGCTCCTCAGCCCAGACAGCCCAGCAGCTGCAGAGGCTCAGCCAGGCCATGGATGTGGTGGGCTCCATCGCCAGGGTGGATGCGGGTCGCCTGGGGAACCGGAAGAGGCGGAGACTGGCGAGAGGCGTGACGTTTGCTGTGAGGGACGGCGGGTTTGCCTGTAGGAAGTTGATGGAGTTGCTGTCTGCCGTTGCCCAGTTGAATAGCCAGGCAGCTACTTGTGTAGGTGAGTGCTGTATTTCTGATATTCCAGATGGCACAATTTTCTGTTCTTGTGAGCTGCGATGTCCAATCTTATTTCTTGAGTTAATCTGTAATCTGCTGAAAAGATAGTTACAATCATCATTTTTGCTATCTTTTGGGATAGCCTTTGCTCAATGTTTTTTGAATTCCGTTTTTTCGAAAGTATTTCGCCAAATTTCTGGCTGTCTGTTGAAGACTTTTTTGGTGAAAGCTTATGTCATCCTGCAACCCCCAAACAAGTGACAAACAAACAAATATGTTAACTGTATTCTCTATATTTCACCGACTCACGTACATCCATCCCTTCTTGCTCAATGAGCCAAGAAAAGATTTCCACCGTAGACTGCAACAATGGGTCCACTCCCAAACATGTCTTTGTACGATGAAAACTTTCATAAGAGTGTCCGTACTTTACTGCAGAGAAGAGATACAGTTTAATTGTGCTGAGGAAAGAACTCAGTGGTTTGAACTGTGCGTTTTGATTTTCTCGTGTTTAATGGGATGCTGTGATTGGACATGCGCTTTGACATTTCTACAGATGATGATCTCCTGGACGCCATCCAAGGTCTTGAAGCCAGCCTTGCCTCCCATGGACTGTACCACCAAGACGGCGGTCAGCATGTCCCCATGGACGCTGACGGTGATGGCAACCAATCAGAAGACGGCCGAGCCAAGGCCCACGTGGCCATTCATGTCGGCCTCTGGCCGCTGCGGGAACAGGTGGCGCTGTACAGGGAGCAGGTTGTGGGCTGTAACTTCCTCGCGAGGAAGATCAGAGGGTGAGTGATTTGACTTACATGGTCTAGGAAAGAAATACCTAAGTAGTCGATTAAGCTCTCGCATCTCATATTACATGATTGATTTGATTTTATTACACATTTCCACTGGCTATTAAACCTACAATTAAATACATTGAAAACCTGTACATTAAACATTTGACATGGCCCATCAACAAACAGACAACGGATACAAAAAAATATGCCTTAAAAGCCAGTGAATCGCAAGGTGGAACAGGTGACCAGCACCTCTACAGAGCCATCCTTCCACATGGAGTAAAAGCCCCCTGAAAAAGCAAATAAAAGCAAATATGAAGCATTTAAATCTTTCCTGAAAAGCGTTCAATGTGAAAATTTTGAGTTTTTTCCATTATTGTTTTCAACCAACTTCAGTCTGTCCGCAGTTTTGTTTTGGATCTTTTGAGCTGCTTTGCCATCAGATATTATAAACTGATCCAACTTTGTCCAGTCCAGTCCTTACCAAAGTACATGTAACTTCAAGTTTGGCTAAAATAAGGAAATTGGAATAAAGTAGCATTTTGAACCTGCAACCTCTGGTAGCCTGTTGCACAGGTAGTTGGTTCAAAGATGTGAATTCTGTTAAAAGTGTGACAATTTCGATAGAAATTGTTGCAGAAATAGGGTTTGATCTTGCATCTTTCTGTCAAACAGTGAGGAGTGCACTGTGAGTGCCTTTCTTGAACAGCTGAGGTCATTGTTGGACTACACCGTCAGCCACACCCCTGCGTCTCCACCTTGTGTCCTACCCTATGCCTCCCTGCTTCAGAGTGGCCTCGACCACACCCCGTCTGGGTCGGAGGTCACGATGGCGTTCATGAGCCGGCTGTGGAGGAATGCGGCCACCTGCCAAGTGCCGTTGTGGTTGTCATGGCGACAGTATCTCGCAGATGCGGGGAACATCTCTGAAGGGGAGATAGTTAGTTTGGAGGGCATGCAACACGTGAGCAGATACATGTATATTTGTGTGCAGGGATAATGATAACAAGTGCATAGAGACATTCCGTAATGTGCGCCATATCAGAACTGACTATTATTGTTATTTATTTGAAATGCATTTCGTTAACAACACTGTGAAAACATTTGATTGGAGAAAAGTTGTATGTTTATCTTAAAGTCCTACCCTAGCTCAAATAAGGGTTGTTTTGAAGAACCCTCCTGAATTTTTCAAGTGTTAAAACTTTCCAGATGAAAACTTTCAAGAGTATCAAGTCTGATGTATACTCTCAACAGTCCTCTGAATCCCCCAAACCTGGTGGATTTTGAAGGTTCTAGGTTGGCAAATGTTTGTGAGAGTACAGTGTAACTGAAGTGGAGTAAAAAACCTTCACCAAGAGCTTAAGTGCCAATATTGACGTGCTGAAACTACCACTCTAGTCTTCTATTTGACCGCCTCCAAGTTTGTTGATGTCTTTGTTCTTAAACTACAAACGTCCAGTTAGACCAGAGCATCCTTGTCATGATGAATGCTTTTGTCAATTCTGTCAGGGTCCAGCAAACCTGCACATGCCCCTCCGCACGCACTGCGTCACCCACCTATTGTACCCGCTCTCCCAGCGGCCCCGCCCCTCTGCCAAGGGAGACAGGGAGGTCAAGAGGGTTACAGGGTCAAGGGTCAGCACAGATGTGCCGCTAGGCCAGTACCTAGAGAAGGTGGACCAGCTGAGGGCGCTTGCTGAACTTCTGTGGTCCAACGCCTCAACCATGTCCTCAAATAGGCTTTGTTTCAAGTATGTAATGCATTTGAAAGACCCACCCACATGACTTATTTTGATAGAATGAATGATAATTGATAGAAACTTATTCACTAGCTCAATGAAGTTCTAGGTACATGTAATTGACCTTCGATCGAAAACAAAATTGAGGGAGTCTCAATTCTAAATTTATTCAGTTTGCTCAAAATTGCTGTGAGTTTTCTTTCGTGCTCATTTTGTTCTTAGATCGAGTAGCGTCAATTACCTGCTGCTGTCACTAGGCCAGTTGCTGCAGACTCTGGAGTCTCTGATTCGACCTCCTGACCTTGATTCATGGCACGCTGCTCTAGAGGAGGTTGCATCCATGGCAACGGCCGGACTGATAGACAAATCATCCCTGGCATCTGCTGTGCAGGATTTACAGCAAGTTCTGTCTCAGAACACCTTGGATTCTTTGAGCGAGGGCACTCCTGAGGATGTTGCAGGTCAGATGCCAATGGTCGGACCGGCTGTGAAGGCGTGCTTGGACTGCCTGTCAGACTTGTCGAGCTTTGCTGAGTTGGGAGACGAGAGCATGGACATTGGGATCCCGGATTGGGCCTCGGGAGAAGAGAGCCAAGCTGGATCGGGTGACGGGGACCACTTAGTCCAGCTGATGGTGTTGGGGAAGGGATGGGTACATCTAGGATTACTGGAGGTACATCTCCTCGCACCCAGGGGGCCGGTCGACCCAGCCCAAAAAGCGGCTCTGAAACTACAGTACATCAGGGATGAGGTACGCACGTACGATCAACGTACCATGTTAAGTTTCAAGTTAAGTCTTCTCTTATGGATATAGAAGATAAACATATCCTTCTGGGATTTTTTGGATTTTTGTACAATTGCTTTTTCTTTAATTCTCAGATGACTGATATTACAAATGAGCTCAAAGTTCGCAGTCTGTCCTCCCAACTTTTGACGGGACGAAAGCTGGAAGATATGCCGCTGAGCCTGCTGCCTGAGAGAGTCCGCCTCGCACAGAGGAGACTGGCATTACTGGAGGACAGAGCCCCAGAGCTTGCCAAACAAACAGCTTTCAGACCGGAACCCCCTGAGGTAGAGTTATGAGAATATTAGGTTTCTAGAAAATATGTAAACATGGTGTGTTCAGGTTTGGCAAAAATCGTAATTATTGATAAATCTTTGCAGTTTGATTCTGACTGTTTATGTTACGGTGGTGTTGTCTGCTATTTTGTTTTTCAGTTTGATGCCATGCTACAAGATGTGACCCACTACCTCACTAGCATTGGATCAAGGTCAACTGTAGAGGGCCTCCTTCACAAGCTGACATCTGCCTTTGACTCACTGAGCACGGGCAAGGCGGGGGATGCACAGGCCTGTTCGGTCCAGAAGGTCCTGAACGAGGAGAAAGCCTGGCAGAAGTCGCAGAGGCAGTTCCTGCATCGGATACAGGAGGGGTACCCCCTCTACCCTGACCAGTGGGTGGGGCTGGTCGCCACGGTGATGCAGATGCAGTATGGAATGCGGCTGGCAGGACACGCTCTGCTCAGCCTGGTGGAGAGGGGGACATTCTCGGTGGATTGTGGCTCCGTGGAAGCTGGGCTGTGCAGTTTGGCTCAGTTCCCAGTTCCCCTGATCGCGGAAAATCAGTTAGCCTCAAGTGACGTGCTGCAGTTGGTGAAGAACTTGTCTGCATACTCAGCGGTTGAGTCGGAGCAATCAGGATATAACAAGACCAAGATGAGGTAGGCTCGTAATTCGAATGCTGAAAAGTTACAAGTAAATGCAAAAGAAAAAGAACAGCACATTAATACTTTTATTAGTAACTTAATCGTGTTCATTCAAGTACCATTTGTCCACTTGGATGTTCCTTTATGATGGACTTTGCGTCTGTACATTGACCTTAATGTGTGGACAAAAACTTGTCCGGCCAGTGTCACATTGCCTTGTCTGTGCTTTTTTTTTTTCAAGTTTTTGCAGTTCTGGCAAGTGCGCAACATAAAAACTTAATACCTTGATGTCACGAAGTCACATGTGCTTGTGCTTTTTGTGCGAACCAGTTTTTATGATACAGACACAATTTTCATTCCACAAAAGCCGAGACGTTCCCCTGATTTACCATCCCCTTCCCCCACTGGTTACTCTCAAAGTGTCAAACACACTTCTTGTCTTCTCCACAGTTTGCTGCAGCTGTCCCTGGTCCGCGCCCGCCACCAGGCTCTCCTAGCCGGCTTCCTGGAGCCCAAGACCCTCCAGGGCATCCTCTCCATCTTGGACCACATTGTGGTCGCCTGGCGACAGGCCGAGGATGCGGCGCGGCGCAGGGAGGCGGAGGAGGCGTCCCTGTACAAGTACAAGACAAAGACGCACGGGGACGGGCTGACGGATGAGGAGAGGGAGGACCGAGATTTCCGCCAGAGCTTCCCGTCCTTTGAGAAGGTAGGGACTTCACAATACTCGCCAGCCCAAATCAGTGCGTGGGATGTTTCCCAAGTTGTAGCCAAATTTAGAGTAGACCGAGCATTTGGTTAAGTTTCTCTTTATTTTTGTTAATTCTGTAGTCAGGAAAGTTTTTAATTTATCATTTGTAGTGTATGGTCTTTGTTGTTGATGGATAATTGGGAAAAGTGTTTGAAGTCAGAGTTTGAGTCATGTGGAAGTTTTTTTTTGGAGTTCTTTCAGTTTTGGCCTACATTTATTATTTTAAACAATGCATCAACACATCAACAATTTTAGATATACAAGAACAAACCACTTGAATTGGGAAGAACTTGCCTTTGAAAACGCAATGGAGATGGAATAATTTAAAAAGAATTCTACCACAACTTTCACAGATTTTATCTCCTGATGTCTCTTGGAGTCTATAAATCATATTGTTTTCTTCTCATTTTTTTTTGGGGGGGGGATTGCAGGATTTTGCAGACCTTACAAAAGAGCCCACCTTGGAAAGCCAGCCAGACTCCGATGAGCCGGCATCCGGTGAAGAGAGTGACGCTGTAGCAGTGCCGATCCACGACACTCAAATGCGGCAGGTCTGTGCTGTTCACCGGGAGCTGTTCACCAAACTGGTGCGGGCCGGATGGATCCGGTCATGTCGGCCAACACTCAATGCGAGCGATGCTTTGTACCACCAAGCCTTGAAAGATGGGTACGCCGTCATGGTCCGACTCGGCGGCAGGGCACTGCCATTTCTAGGTTGGTTGTGATGTCGACTTTGTCCATTCAGACTGAACCTTTCATCAGATGTGCTCATTTTTTTTTCTTCAATATTTGAATGCATTGTTTTAAGTTTGCTAAGCGGTTGTGATTTTCCCCGGTATTTCCTGACCAAGATAACTAATTGCATGTGTTTTGTCAAGCTTCAGTAAATTCTGCCGTCATTAGAATTTCATTTAATGTTTGTCTTCACGGTTTCATTCTTTCTTTTTTATTTTGTAAAAAGCTGCTTTGTTACCACAGATGCGTGCTAAAACTTTGACTTGGTATTATTTCATTCCGTACAGTAGCATGCATGTACATACTGTAATGAATTTCAAGATTTTGCCATTTCTTGAAAAGTTTGGCTCTCGCGCTATGCATTGAAACACGTAGTGTGTTATCAGTTAAGAGGCTGCTGTGATGGTACTAGTGAGAGAAACTTGCCCTTGTAGTCAAATAGGAGTCAAATCTACAGTTTTGTAAAAAGAATACCAGGGGTCCTTGTACGCAATAAATTAATGCCACTGGTTCTGCTCAGAGTAAAGAGTAATTAATGACATCATCAGATGCTATAACATTAATGATCAACATGTATTTTCATTTGTTTTCTGTTTACACAACCAAGATCCCTCACTGGACAACAAGCTCCTGGGTGCCCACCTGCTGATGGTCCGATACCTCCACAGCGCCCTCAGCCCAGCTGACCGGGCCGGCACTGAAGAGCACCCTCAACCGTACGACATCTACCACGATGGCAACATAGAGGAGGCCATCCAGTGCCGTCCACTGCTGGAGAGATTCTGTGGGCGAATCTTGGAGTTGTTGGAACAGTGGCCCGAGCACCCCACCCTGAAGCAGGTAAGCTCTGTCCACTTAATCCCATCACCCATGAAGGATAGGGGAAATAAGTGAAAGAGCATGCTGTGCTTAAAGAATTCAATTTTTTCCTTTTTTCAAAAGGCTTGAAGCTCCCAGGTGTGCCTGCTAACTTCTTCTGTGAATCCTGTTTTCAGTATAATGTTGTCAAACGAAAGGGATCTTTTTCTCCTCGTGGCTAGTAATGCACGTTAAAAAAAATGGCAAAATGTACGCTTTATTGTTACTTATTTACTATCGTTGATGAAATATGGTTGTGAAACCAAGGATTCCTCAAAAGTGCCCCAGGCACTGGAGCTCACAAACTGGCAGGAGAGAAGGAGTATAACAGTGTTTAGTGCTGGGAGAAAAATCCCTGAAGAATATTCGGGATAAACTCTTCGAGATCAGGTAGGGACTGAAAAACCCTATCCCCCTGAGGAAAGAACCGCTACGCCAGCCTCGCTCACCTCTCAGTGAGAGGAGTCAAACATTTCTTAGTTTTTCTTCCTTTTATTTGTAGTTGACGTTATTGATTGATCGCATCTTGGAGTTTCCTGTCACCAGCCCCCTCATGAAGTTTGTCACCGGTCTGGAATTGCTCTTGGAGAAAGCGCAGGTAAGACAGAATTTCTGTGCATTACAACGCATTGTCGTTTGCGTTTTGAGCCTTAATATTTACATCAGATAACAGTCACCTTAATATTTTTTTATTTCTTGTAAAACATTGAACTCCGGGAAAACCAAAAAATTCCCAGTAGTTTCATTTTTACAAACATCAAATTAGTTAAGGACATTCTTGCTCTTAGAGAAATTGCAGGTAAGACGGAATTTCTGTGCATTGCAACGCATTGTCGTTTGCTTTTTGAGCCGTAATATTTACAGCTGATCACGTTAATATTGTTTAATTTCCTGTAATACGTTGAACTCCAGCAAAACCAAAAGATTCCTAGTATTTCCATTTGTACAAACATCAAATTAGTTCAAGGACACCTCAAATGCTTCAAACACTTGCCAGGTGTGATATAAGTCTGAAAACAGTAGAGTGATGCAATCAGTGGTGTACATGTATTACAAACAAGTATACGTTCTGATGGTGTTTTGACACAGACTCTCCTTTTGCTGGCACCGTCAAAAACAGTCAAAAATTCCTTCCACTTCTCCCTGTACAGTACATAGACATATCATATGTCACTTGACTGATTTTGACTGATAGGACGACTGTGTTGAAAATGCACCTTGCATAGAAGGGTCAACACTAATTTGGGACTAGGAATGCTGGCAAAGAGGTTGTTGGCCGTACCTGTCTGAAGGATGTATTCACCTTTCTATTTGCCGCGTCTCAGTTGCAGTTTTTTGCCCAAACCACTAAGCTATGGGTAAGAGTCTGGAACCAAAGTAGAACTTTGCAAAGTTAAAATATATCATGCCACTATCGTGAAACTAAATAAAAAAATACTTCCACCGAATACTAAATGAAAATGACTCCCATTTCAAGACTAAAGAAGCAACTGTGCTGTTTGAGGCAAAAAGTTGTTGCCAACCAGTGATGACCTTTCTGCAACCTTTGGCTGCCATACAAAATGGTGGTCAGTGTGTGTCAAACTGGGGAAGGGTTTGTAGACTGAGCCTTGCACATCACAGCACTACGGAAAACTGTCAAACACAAGTTCTTGAGAGCGACTCAAAGAGAACATATTTAACATAATCCTTGTGAAAGAGGCTGGCATTTGATTGTAGCAGTGTGTGTTTAGATGTGCACTTGGATGGCTCTTCTGCGGCAAAAGCCAAAGCTGTCTTTAATGATCTGGACTGCCGTCTGGCGGTACGTGTGATAGGAGAAACAGTAGATGAATACATTGAAGGCGCTGTTTGAAATCGTCAGCCATACCATAGAGAAGTGCAGCCAGGGGGGAATAACGCCATTGGTGTAACCGACTATGGTCCTTGACAGAATGGTGGGTGTGTAGCAAACCGCAAACGTCAGGGTGACCAGAAGGAAAGTCTTCAGAGCCTTGTTGTCCTGACTTCGGCTGGCTGCGTTGCGACCGTCCAGGTGGATCCGCTGTCTGTGCCAGTTGCTGATCTTTATGATATAACAGTAAATGCAAACGATTGTTGTTGTTGGACCTAGGTCCAAGAAGATCAGCATCATGACATTCATGGTGTTGGAACGCTTTGCATGGAAACATGATACTGCCGCATGAAAATATTGCGCGGGTGTTTGAAAAGTCACAACAGTGATGGTCACTGTCAACACCGATGCTGCGAGTATGATTACGATGATGCGATGCTTGGAGCACCACATGGGAAAGCGAAACGGTCGGATAATGGCAACGAACCGCTCAACATTGAGCAGCGTCATGGCAGTCACCGACATGACTAAGGCCACAAACCTCACAGCAGCAAAGAGTTGGCAGCCGAATTGCCCAAAAGGCCAGTCGCCAAGAGCTGAAGCGGCGATGCTGGACAGGGTAGACACGCCAACGAGGAGGTCGTACCCAGCCAGCGTGGTCATCAGGACCTTGGTGCTGTCGGCCAAATCGGACACCCGACGCATCACGGCGATGCAGAGGATATTGCCAAGTATGATGACGGCTGCAACGAGAACGATGAAACAAGTCCTGACGGCGATGAGGAAAGCTGGCATACCCAAGGTTTCTCCCGATGAGTTGTTCATCTTCTGGTGCCTCGAAACAAAAAGACTATCCATAAAAGCCTAACTAAAGCACAGTCTCAGCTGAACGTGGACCACGCAAGTCTCTAGAAATTCCACATGCGGCATAAGGATGTACCATATGTACATGTTCAAAGTATCCCAAGGCTGTGTCACGCAGCTTGTTTAATTAACGATGCATCTACTGGAGACAGCTCCCTCATAACAATGTCAAAACTCCATCTACCAGTACCAGTTACTATAATTGCCTTTGTGTAGTACCAGAAGTCATCCTGACTGTTTTATTCTAGTGCGCAACATCCCCGCATCCTCTTCAGCGCTTAATCTCTGCTGGGCCTTGCACGTGATGGTGCCCATTGTGTTCACGGTGCCACTCTGAACAGTTAATGTGCCCCTAAACCATTAAAATAATTGTTGATTTCAAAAGCCCGCTCTGAGACAATGCACAAGTTCCCGGTGGACGTATCTAATCAGCGACTGTAAATGAGACCCTTTTACGTTAATGGCTTCAGCTTTGCCAGTGGTGAGCTTCATTAAAAAAAACAAACAAACAAATGAATAGACAAACTGATGATCGGATCTTGTTTGTAATGTTCCAGGCCTAGTGGGGCAGGAATCCGAGGGACTGAGCAATCTCCTTAGCTCGTTATGAGCATGTACGTGAACAGAGTGTTTGTTCCTGCCCATTTTCGCAAGCATGATCAGCGATGCCTCTTTACTGAAAGTGCCCTACCATTCATCCAAATTGCTGTTTCAGACTGACAACTGTTGTTCCATCTTAATAACCGATGGTAGAGCATAACATGCAATAATCATTAACCACTTTCAGATATTGTTGGTGCTAAAGTCCTGATGGGTCAAAGGAAGTGCATACTTGGTGAGGTACCCGCACCAGCCACCAAAGAAATACCTACTCTTAAGTTGTTGCATGACTGCTATTAATAGGACAATCAGAATGTATGAAGAGCTTTAGTTAGTAAGACATTATTTGAGGAGTACGTGTTTAACATGGCCCATCTGTCAATGGCTTGCCACCAAGGGGATCTCTTTTTTTAAATTGCAGTCATTAAACTGTTCTTTGAAAGTCCAAAAAGTGATTGAAATAAGTAACTTATTAACAACATTGCTATATAAATATTTGAGCGATTTCATGTTTATTGATTTTGCGCATATTAATTAGTGAAGTACACAGACATTATTTATTACATATTTTCAATTTTTGTAAAAATCTCTGGACAAGAGTATTTGATTTGATTGAAATGAAACACAGGCGGACATCAGTCCTGGATATAACATTCATAACGAGAAGGAAAACTGACAACAACTTGAAAAAAGGAATGTCTTTTAACAAGTTTGCATAACACCTCCATTTATACACACTCACCCATGGAAAAATTCAGTTTGGATGACCCAGGTTGACTCTTACACTGCCATGTAACATTAAAAAAAATCGCGTTGTCTGATTTTCATTTCAAGCTTGGCATCAAGAGTTGTACAGAACTTCAAAGAAAAGGTCATGAAAGGACAGTTTGACACTTGAAGCAGTTTGGGAGTAGTGGCAGAATGTTTACAGGGAGGGGCTGAGATTGAAATCCCCCCCCCCGGTCTGTCTATGTTTGAAGTCACACTTTTGGTAATTGTGCTTTTCGGAAATTACTGCCAACAGGCAAACTCTCGAGATACTAATTATTCTAGCATTGTCGTTATTATAAAAGCCAGTGATCACTCTCAGGTTTATCAACTCTAAAACGCAGCCCTTGCTCGGCCAAGGAGAGTACCGTGGTACATGTACAGTAGCATATGTACAAAAAATGACAGTCCTTCAGACCATCCAGCGATGAATGATTGTCGCTCTTGTATCAATCAAAAACAGGAATATATTTAAACCTGTTTTTTTCTTTTTTTACAGCAATTGGTCTAAAATAGCTTTTGATTTTAAACATTAAGATTCTGACGGATCAAATTGCCATTTCAATACACAGACCTTTGAATTTTGTAATGCCAACATCTGAACTCTGACCTGTTTTAGCCAGTGTTGTTCAAAAAATGAACTCCAAATTTCATGTCAGATGCTCACAGTTTATTTACAGCGCTAATAAGAATAAAGTTGTAGACAATGCTGAACATGTACTATCCCAAAAGGAATATGCACCGTGCATCATAAGTCACAAAAGCATTTTTAGTAAGGTGGTAATGCTTGATATAAAAAAGCCACAAAATGTAGTGTAAACTCGTACACATTTTCCTCCCTTGTGGGCTTGATATACTGGTAACATGGCTAGTGGGTGGATTGAGGGTCATGCAGTAATATTTCTTAAACACTGTGAAATGTTTACCTGAGGCCCTCAACCTTAAAAGCAAGCCATACAGAGTAGGAAGCTGCATTGGCTTTGTTGAGGGCACTTAACTGCCTCCCTCCCACCCACACACCCCGGCCAAGTGTTGCCGGAAATAATTGATGTGCCATACCTGAAGTTCTGCCCCAATTCATGCATTCTCATTTGATGAAAAGTGTACCATTTTGTCAGTGTTAATGTGAGAGAAATGATATCTCACTGAAACACTCAATAAGGCCGTTCAAGCTGTAAGGAACATGTCATAAAATTTGCACCATTTGGTCTGAGGTTTCCTCGCGTGTTTGGATCGTCAGCTGTGATCATTCCTATTTCTTGCACTCTGTGGACTGCGTCTCTCATCTCTTTCCCTTAAACTGATTTTATTAGATGTTGATTGGTTGAATAGAGCGCTTGCAATGACAGGGAAATCTCTCTGCAAGGATCTTCTTAGCCGTCTGACGATAAAACCGGTTGAAGAGACCGTAGATGAACACATTGAGAGCGCTGTTGGAAGCAGGCAACCAAGTGAGAATGAATTCCATCCAGGGAGGGATACCTGTCCTTCCAAAACTCTGCACCACTCGCCAGGCTAGATACGGTGTGTAG